TAACCGTGACGACAAAGGTCCCCTTAAAGATGAAAGTCATTTTAAACCAAACCACAATCTTTCTCTTAACCTCACCAAATCTTACCCGTAGCGTGGCATTAGAACAAGAAATAAAAGCTTTGATATGTTCCTCCTGCAAGTACATCCTCAAAAATAGAAATATAGTCGTTTTTGTTTGCTTAGACAGTTGAAAGCCCCTTTCAAGCCGCCCCGCTAGTTAAATGAGGTCTGAATGATAAAAAAGGAAAGAGACTGATGGAGTCAGGCAATTTGCGGACGAACGAGGTGAACAATCCTCTAAGTGGAGGCGACAGACTGATGCTATAACATTGGGTTAAAGAGCAGGGGCTTCTGGGGTCAAGAAGCAGAAATTCATTTGCAAACTATTTCTCATTTGGGAAATGGTTTTGATAAATAGTTGTGTGTGAAATTCAAAAATGTGTTTACTCTCTTTGTGAGTTACAAACACCTTAAGGAGGCTGCCATGTGATGATGGCGAGTACACAGCGTATGTAAGAGACGACTCTTGTGACAGAATGATATTGACCTGTCTGCACCCTCCATGACCCTCCTGCAGCTTATTTTGTCAGTAGTTTCATACTGTACATGCTCGCGACGGTTTAGAAATCATTTTTATGCAAATTAATATTCCAAGGTGACTTGTGCAGGATGTGTCAGTGAGTTAATTAGGAACCATCAACTTGAAGGTGCTTTGACCTTTGTGAATATTTAGACAAACTGGCTGTGGCTGCAGAGTGCACAGGAAGTTGGTAATTTTTTCATGTGGGAGATGTCACAGATGAGCTCTGAGCCGTTATTTGATTGGAGGCTGTATTTCCTGTTTGTATTAATGAGAAGTTAGAAGACTCTATTTACTGGAAGTTTGTGTTTTTTAGTCATACTGGAGAAAAAAAAAGTCATGTGATAATCTTGTCTCATAATGAACGGAAAGTGTTGTCGACTATAACTCCTGTTTTCTCCTGTATTATTCTGCAGACATGGCTGTAGAAGCTCTCAGACTGACAGTGCAATCAATAAGCGCAGCCAATTTTAATACGCATGTAGTGTAAAAGTCAATACGAGATGACATGTGTAATCTCCCAGGGAGGTTTTTCTGCAGTTGTCTTCAAATGTTTGTTTAAACTTTGATGGGTGTTTGTGGCCCTCCCTCGCTCTCTTCCTCCCACCTCTCCACACCTCCCTCCCTCGCTCCCTCCCTCGCGCCTTCTGTAGCTCAGCGAGAGGAGAGGAACTGATGATGGAAAGCAATGTTCACCATGGCGTGCCTGTGTCAGAGTTCCTCCTCAGACATGGGAATGCAACCACATACTCATACACACTCTGAACGCGGAAACACACTCGCACACCCACTCATGCACAACACACAAAGCAAGCTCATGTAGATGGAAACAAACATGGAAAAGCACGGAGGAACAAGCCGCTTGATATTCTTGGACTATATATAAACTACAGGCTGGAGGTGTATGTATGATTTGCCAGCATGTGTGGATATGTGTGTGCATGGACTGATTATGTGTGTGTGTGTTTTGTGTCCCTCATGATTTTGCTCAGGGCCTCAGGGCATGTGTGTTGTCACTGAATACATCGTCCCCTCAGTATGATGCTCTCATCACCGGGGACCCTTGGTGTAAAGACTATGACGCCTCACACATCCAGACTAGAGTAGATAAGGTTTGTGCATTGCCATGGGAACATACAGATCTATTATTTGATTTTGCATATCGGGAATCATCCACAGAATTTCAACAACTGTAAAGGAAACCGGAAAAGGAAACTCACAGGACAGCAGATCTGACAGTAGAGCGGAGCATATAATGTAATGAGCTTGAATTAGGTCACCCCCTCTCTCTCTTTTTCTCTCTCTCTCTCTCTCGGCCATGTTCATTGTCACTCTTCAGTATGTAATAAAGCTGAATAGTGTTACGTCTAACAAGTCTCCCCCTCTCCTCCCTCCCTAAGCATTAGACCAAGTGGGTACTCTGTCACTTTGCTGAAGAGGATAAACATGTTGGAGGAGGTTTTCACTGTGGTTTGTCACTTGTTCAGCCATTTTTCCACTGTGATACTTTTCCCGTTTACTGCTGTAAAGCACAAAGAGGATTTTGTATCAAATCCAATTTTGCATTAATGAAAATAAAATCGGCACAAACACAGATGACATATTAACAACTGTGAACATCGCATTACACCACTGTGACAGTATTGCTTTTTCTTTACTGGTTTCTTACTTCCTCTTAATTTCATTAAAGTTTCCTGTTGTTTGGTTCTAATTACAGGAAAAGTGAAGGCATAGTTCGATTAGTTGTGTTGAGTTTATTATTGAGGTTATTTCTGATGAATTTCCATGACAGAAATTGCTCTATTGAATATTTATTCCTCATTCATTTATTTTGGAAACTTTATTCTTCATATATGCTGGATTGTATGTATGTTTGTAGACACATTTTACATGTGTAGCTCACCTGCTATCTTATGAATAAAACTCAAGGTGATGCTAGCTTACTTAGCATTTAGAAATAACTGGACATGTACCGACTGATCTCTGTATTTTACCTGTAATTAATACCAAATTATATGGTTCTTTCCAGGAACCTCATTAAGAGATTATTTGGAAATGAATTGGAAATAAATAAAGCATTAACCAACACAACAAACTGTACATAGGCTACAATTTTTTTTTACGTTTTGATGAAAATGTTTAGTCAACTAAACCAACTTTGGTTTTGGTTGTCGCTGAAGTTACATTTCAAACTAAAAATTAAAGGAACAGTTCAACATCTTTAGAAATGAGCTTATTCACTTCGGGCTGAAAGTTATGTAGGTACAGTAATGTACTGACCTCTGGGATTCCTGTCACCATGGTGAGGTTCCTTGGCAACTGGGCAACTCGAGGAAGTCACTGCATCCAGCTGCTGGTCATCAAGAAAAACACTGTTTCACAAATCAGGGGCAGCATCCTTCGAAGGCTGCATTTGAATACCGACTTCGTCCAGCAGCGGAAGTAGGCTGTCCCATTTTGAAGGCTCCGTCAAATGCGGCCAAGAAAAGCAGCTTTTTTTTCTTGGGCTACGAAGGCTCCAACGGGTGGATTCTTCATGGCCCAATGTGTCCCGAGATTCGCTGCGCTCTGTTAATGAAAATAATATGGCAGCAGACAACATCAACAGAGAGCCTGAGGATTACACATTTAAATGTTAATATTGGGTTTCAGCTGAAGTTTTAGTGAAAAAATGTAATGTGTTATCAAGGTTGCTAGGCGTCAGGAGCTGTGCTTTGCGATGCGACGGTAAGGGTGGGCACAGCTGGTGACGCAAAGAGAAGATTCTCCACAGGCAAGACCTTCTCATTTCAGTTCAGCCTTTGTAGTCTACGACAGAAATGAAGGGCCACACCTTTGTGTACCACGTCCTCCGAGGGATGCGGCCCCTGAATTGGGACACAGCAATTGATACAGAATGTAATGCCCCTTTGACACAGCTTGATGTCTTTACGTTTTGGTTTGTGTATAAAATTATTGTGTGAGAAAGAGTGAGAAAGTGAATAAATGAATTTCCCAAAATGTCAAATTGTTCCTTTAAAGCTTCACTCCCAATGGTTTGAATTGTGAGAACCTGATTAATGGTATTTTAAGCTCTATGTACAAACCCCTCCATCATCCCCAAACACCCTGTTTTGATCCATCTAGCATTATTCTCATTGTCGAAGTATAATATTTAATCACCCAGATTTCTGCTCCCTGGAACTCATTTGTTTGTTGATGATGATTACTGATTGATGAAATGATTGTTGAGTCTAGAATTGCTCACCTTTGGAAATACAACACAATACTGGGAAAACTAGTAACAAAAGGAAGCAAGTTGAATGAATTAATATCATCAAGAATTGCATGATTCTTATTAGTTTTCTATTGTGTAAATCAACAAAAATGTAAAAGAAGTTTTCAGTTACAGATTTAGGGAAGCTTACTGTACAGTTGTAAGTTTTTTTTTCTATCTTTAGGGAACTTGGCAAAGGAGTTAGTGTGCTGTTTATTGGAGTATAAATGAATAATTAGCACGAGTGCATCTGTCTCATCTGTGCAGAATAACATGCTTTCTTTGATGTTTGCTATGTTTATCACCCCCTTTCCCGCCCCTTCTCTCTCTCTCTCTCTCTCTCTCTCTCTCTCTCTCTCTCTCTCACCCACACACACACACATTCTGTTATGAATTTCTAATGCATCTTTATTATTTATTTTTAAACGGTTATGAAGGTCATATTTTATGCTTCATGGCTTGTGCTTTGCACACAGCTGGTAATTCAAATGGCTGAATGGTACTAACTTAAGTTATGCAGAGAGTCACACATATATAATTCCTCTCTTCCTACCTTCTGCTCCTCTAAGTGATGTTTTCTCTTTTTTATCTGTCTTGCCACCTCTTGTGTTCTCCACTACTCTGCTCTTTTTCACCCCATATGCACCCCCCCATCCCCACTCTCTCTCCCATCCTTGTTCAGTTCTTCTTCTTTTCCTCCACACATCGTTATTTTGTTTGATCGGTTTGTTTCTTTACCCTCCCACTCTGCATACTGACACCGCTGAAGGGATCTTTCTCTCGCTCTGTATCTCTGTCATTGCTCTCTCTTTCCCCCTCTCTATCTGTCTTTCTCCTTATTTGTCTCCCTCCGTCTCTATCTCTACCTCCCTCCCTCCTTCCTTCCCTCCCCCCTCCCTCTCCCTCTCCCTCTCATCCTCTTCTCTCACTATCTCTCCACGCACACTTGATTCATTTTACACATTACGGAAGCATCCATCATTTTGCTCTGTGAAGGAAAAATCTCTCTCTCTCTCTTTTTTTTATCCGTGACAACATTTTCCACTTTCTTTTTTTTTTTTTTCTTTCTTTTTTTTTTTTTTTGCGGCTGTCTTTTCACTCTCAACCCCTGCACTCTTCTGTGGATGCAATCCTAAAGCTGGAACCAATATGTTTTATTTCCAGCTGGTCATCATGGCAGGGACCGTTCTGTTGGCGTACTACTTTGAGTACACGGACACGTTCCCCGTGCACATCCAGGGCTTCTTCTGCTTCGACAAAGCCTACTCCAAGCCGTACCCAGGACCAGAGGACAACAGCAAGGCGCCGCCCGTCCTCGTCTACTCCCTCGTCACCGCCATCCCCACTGTGACGGTGAGTCTGTGTTCAACTTGTAAAATAAATAAATAAAGGTTCTTCCACAGGTGCTCATCACGCACATTCGCACACACACGCACACACACATCTCACATGAAAAGAAATGAAAATCCCCTACATGCATGCACACACGATCGACTCAAAACATGTGAGAGACACACACACACACACACACACGGGGAGTTCCTCCTCATCTACACGTGGTGTTTGTGGATTGAAAGAGGGGAGAGAGGTGTGTAGGTGTGTATCCTCGTGGTCTCACTGCACTGTTTGTGTGGATGCGTTCTCTGGCATAACCATGGCAACGGGGCACTATATTTGTCCTCCATAGAGCAGTCAGAGATAGCTACAGTGTAGAGAGAGCCTGTCCTTATTTCAAGACTGCACAGCATTAGAACAGAGTAAAACATCAGGTCTGAATGGCTTCCCTTATTCATGCACAAGAAGAGGCACAGTTTCATTATCTCCACCGTCACTCCTCATCCAAGACTTAAAAATGCATATGGAAGCATCTTTAATAATTAAACATCTATATCGAATTATAATTTGTAGGTCATGAATTCTTGGCAGAATGCACATTGATGCAGCGAATCAGACCTCACTATTCAACTACTTTATTTTTGCCATTCATTGTGGTAACCCATGCATTTACACTAGCACTAAATCAGTTTTAAATGAGTATTGAAAGGGACAGTAATTGTTGTTATTAGTCTAGAATAAACTGAATTCCATTACGGCTACCATAATTTCTTGTCAGTACAGTGGGACATTATTAATAATGAAACATAGCTTCACATCCTCATCAAAGCTCTGTCTCCATGACTGTCTGTCTTGTCCCCCAGGGCTTGTCTCTTTGATGTCCCATAGTTAAGTGGTGTTACGACATGGCTGCCTCTGAGCCACATATTAGGGCAGCGTGCGTGTGCACACACACGTATACACACACACGTATACACAAACACACACACGCACACACACACACACACACACACACACACACACACACACACACACCTAGGTACAGGCAGTCCTGGGTCATATGCTGCTGTAGAGACAAAACTACCCCATTCCCCTCATCTATTACCCAATGACAATATAGATCTTTTTTACTCCTGTGTTGACAAGCATTATTGATAAAAGCAGCTACAATATTAGCATATTTGTAGATGATGTTTAGGGTGTTATTCTGAGATGTGTCTGTCAATATGGGTGATTTTGGATTACATTTTTGGACCACAGTTTGTGCTTGAAAGATTCACGTATCAATGTTTTTATTCCTTTCTAGACCAGATACGACTGATGCACTTTGTATGTGTTTGTTTGTATTTATTCTGTTTGCTGGTTTAGAGCCTAACATGCAGTAGAATGGACGGAGGCTGCAGGCACCAGGGTATGTTGAGCTGAGCAGAGTGGGAGCGGAGTGGCGTGATTTTGCCTGGAGTGTGAAGCGGCTTTTTTGAAAGTCAGAGCATCTGTGTTCTCTCTCGCTCCAAGATACCGCTCCATCCCACGGGCCTCTGTTCAGATACAATAAAGAGGCAGATATTCATCTCACTTTTCTCTCAAATTTGCCTCAGACTTTTAGCCACAAACAGAAATTGGACAAGTTCTTCGACTGACACTACAGACGTTTGCTGTCACAACATATATCGCCTTTTTGTGTGTGTTTGCATTGTGTGTGTGTGTGTGTGTGTGTGTGTGTGTGTGTGTGTGTGTGTGTGTGACAGCTGAAACAGATTTTTAAACTTACCAGAAATTCTGCAGGTTTCTCTTATTTTTCCCCCAGCCCCTCTCTCTTTTTGCTGCTGTCTCCTTGTATAATGATGTGTAGGCAGACAACTATCTAACTGCAGTTTCTTAAAACATTTATTTTACAAAGGTGCTCCAGACATTTAGTACTATTTAGTACTTCCATTCAGTGGCAGTCAAGCACCAAAAGTCATTCTTTCATTAGACCCACAGTGCCTGGTAAACACTTATGTCCAAACTTCACCCCCCACTTCGTAGTGCAGACAGGCTTTATGTTATCCTAACCAGAGACACCCCAGATGACATCACCAGGGTTACTTTCTTACACTTGACAAAACTCCTTCCAGTGCCACAGAGGACATTATACAACTGTTTCCACAGAGTCCCTGTGACAAGTGACATCAGTGGTGACCCTGTGAGCATCTTTGCCTCAGTTTTAACCATCTTTAAGTGAATCAGTTGTAGAGAATGCTGTGACCGCAAAGTTCACAAAACTGCTGCCCTGCCCCTACCTACCTATGTTTACCGCATAAAGAGCACATTACACAGGTGTAGAGCTTTGTTCCTGAGCCACTGAGAGCTGTTGACCCCAAAGTACAAAATCAACAAAACAATTTGTTTACACACAAAATGAAGTGAGACATCGTCCCAGGCATCACTCTGGATGCTGCTGTCATCTTTGCTGAAATCTCAAACATCATCTCAAAGATACCCTGTGGAGTTTTTTTTTTACCTCTAGTAGGACTATGGAGCATTTTTATTTATTTATTTATTTTTTATGAGCGGTTCCCTGTTTTGTTTGTCTCGTTCATGTGGATGACATGATACACAGTCCTGCCGATGGTTTCATACTATTTCACTGATCTACAAGTGGCAATGTACCGACAAAGGCAGGGAAGAGGAAGACTGCTAGCCAGAAAACATGGATGTAAACTATGTAGGATTTAAGATACTTGAAACATTGGCTTTGACCCCAAGGATACACTCTGTGTGTTTTTGGTATCAGTAACACAGTTAATAAAACCTTTTTTCAGTATTTAGATTCGTTCAGGTCATATCAGGGTTATATGACCACTTGTTATCACATGACTGAAGTCTGGTGCTTCGGTCATTTGATAACACAAAATTCATTTTCTGGAGAGGTAGGTAGTGGAACACAGTCAAAAAGCTCCAGCAATAGATAAGTAAGTGTGATTATCAAATTAACCAATGCAACAGTTTATGATTCTCATAGGTCACAGAAAAGGCCAGAAAATTTGGATTTTAATGTAATTGGGTTTAGGCTCATTAAAACAGAACCCACCATGTCCCTTTGGTCTCATGAAAAGTCTCTGTTGAAAATGACATTGTTGAAAAGTAGCGGTGATCGCTTTCATGTTAAACTGAACCTGCAGGGCTTGAACAACTCATGCCACAGCGGCGCACAGTTGAGTATTGATGTGGTAACTAGATGAGAATTAGAGCAGAATGTGTGTGTGTGTGTGTGTGTGTGTGTGTGTGTGTGTGAAGAGGAAAAGAGAACGGAAGTGAGAGGTTGAGTGAAATAGAAGCACTTGTGTGGTGCTTGGCAAAAATGCTGTAAGTTTCAGTGCATCAGTGAAGGTAAGTGTGTGGGCGGATGACGCCGCACATCTTTTCCTCCAACGCCACTGAAAACAGGTTCTGCAAGTGGGAGTCCGTGTGTGTGTGTGTGTGTGTCTGTGTGTTGTGTGCATTTATGTGTGTGACTAGTGCTGGTATCTGAGTACTAGTGGCTACAGGCAGTCTCTATGAATCTGTAGCTAATTACACACACACACACACACACACATACAAGCCTATATACATAGCCTATATACAATTCATGCACCACACCAGGCACAGTACAGGTGACATTTCAGCACTCATGCTAATTATCATGCCAAGCTAGCTGAAAGAGTAAGTGCTATTTGACCCATTCGCTAACTATTTATGTGTGTGCGTGTGTGTGTGATCGTGTGTATTGTCAAATGGAGATCGTATATGTGATGCTGATTGCACACTACAACCCCCCCTGTCAGTCAAAACAGTTAAAGTGTGACCAATCACAGGATCAAGTGGTAATTGAAGGCTTAAAATGCATGTGTCACAGTGTGAGCCTCCACAGCACGTGGAGGCTCACACTCTGATACTCTTATGAGCACAAGCAAGAGGATATGAGGCCATGAATGAATGAAGTTTTGGATGTATTCTCCACCTTTTTTATGTGGGTCAGAAGCACAATACCAAATACTTTTGCCCTGGAGAGCTTTGTTCTAATGCAGCTAAATATAAGCCTCTCAAACAGTACGGGAAGGCAAAGTGAAGGCGCTCTTTGAGAGGAGAGACAGTGAGAGTTCAAACTGCAACAAGCACATCACAATGAGAGAAAGAGTGAGACACAAGAGACAGAGGTACCGGAGAGAAAACAAGACAAAAACAAGACCCAAAAAGGAGACATAGAGCAGCTAAAGGATGAAGCTAGAGGAGGAGAGGAAAGAGGGAAGAACAGAGTCTGTCCGATGCCATTCAGTTGCCGCCCGCTGCTCCAAGTTTGTTTGGTGCTGTCTGTTAAACCTTGGGAAGTGCCTTCATGCATAATTCAGCTCCATATGACAGAAAGATGGGGACTGGGGCAAACCATGGAGACAGACCATATCATCCAGTCATGCCAGAGTTTATTAAGTGAGAGCTCTTGATGCACAATACACTTGCGCTGTGCTGCTGTTGCTGTCATATCTTGAGAAACAGATGGTGGCCACTTTGTGTTTGGACATTTTAATAGTTTATGCGGTCCAGCCTCAGTGTGAAGAGATGAAGAGGGACAATGGCAGGATTAAAGCAGATGCAGATATGAATAAATGCAGGATGCTAAAGTCAGTGATTCTTTTTGCCTTGCAGAGGTCAAAGGTCAGGGTGACCTACAGAGCAGTATGCCTCGAGCTGGAAGGATATTTAAATAGGGAATTGTTTTTAGGACTGTTGTATGTTGTTTGTTGTAGTGACTTATCATTTTCCCCACACAGAAATGGCCAAACATAGATGACATTTGGATATGTTGCAACACTGGAGTTTGGCAGCTGAAAAAAACTCGTATCTAGGACATAAACTTAAGTAAAGGTAAAGTTTTTGATGGCTTTTTGCCAAATTTCCACAGTCATATAGATCAGATCAGATAGAATCAGATAGAAATCCAGAAGAAGAAGCAGAAAATCCACTAACAGCTTCGGGCAAAGCGGCCACCAGATGTT